CAGTTTCCTATCTGCTATCTCCACGGCACATGCCCTGTAGATAACCTCTCCTAGCAATGTCTCCCCCCCAGCGATAGATACAAGCAACAATGAATCAAGTCTATCAGGTGATACACAAATTTTGGAAGCAAGAACATGTGAAACAAAAGAATGTGATGCACCAGTGTCAAACAAAACATGAGCAATGTGGCCAGAGATAGTATACATACCATGTACCACGTCCGGGTCTGCGTCGGCATCCTTCTGGGTAAGGTTGTAAACTCTGCCCTAGATTGGAAGCCTTCTTTGATTCTGGTTCCTCGGGCATTCCCTTGCATAGTGATGGGCACTGCCGCATATGCGACATGTGTTGTTGAGGCGATAGCAGGGTCGGTCCCCGTGATCCATGCCGCAGTGCTGGCAGATCTTCCCACATGCTGCCCCCGTAGCCTGAGGAGGGGCCTGGATGGTGGGTCTGGGCCTCTTACTGGGTTGGACAGTCGCAGTAGGTGCTGGCCTGTGGAGCGAGGCTGAGGGTCGGGAACTCCCCGCTAGCTGAGGGTGGGTGTCGAAGCTCCTTTCTATGATCTGCGCCTTTGCTAGAACTGCTGAATATGTCTCGAGCTCCATTACCAGTAAGTGCTGTCTGATCTCCGGGCAGAGACCCCACTGGAATTTCCTGGCCTTTCGGCCCTCATCCATCAATGTCTCCGGGGCATATCGGCCCAGCTCCAGGAACTTACGAGCATACTCCAACACTGTCATGTTTTCCTGGACCAATTGAGCAAACTCCATTTCCTTCAGGTGTTGGATGTGTTTAGGGAAATACTCTGCGTGGAAGGCCGCTAAGAACTGCTCCCAAGTAATTGGTGTAGGCAGGGTGGTTTGCTTGAGCTCCCACCATTGTACTGCTTCCCCTACCAGCATGTAGGAGGCAATGGCAGCCCTCTGCTCAGGAACTACTCCCAAGGTCTCGAAAGCTCTCTCAGTCTCTGCCAGCCAGTATTGGGCCTCTTCAAAAGAGGATCCCCCTGCAAAAGTAGAAGGGTTCAGTCTTCTGTACCTCTCTATGAAACCGGGGTCGATCAAGGAAGGAGCGGGGTCCCGAGGTAGAGGGACTGGGGCCGGCTGAGGGTGAACTGGGGGGCCCTGTGGTGGCACCTGCTGATGTGGTGGGGGTACTGGAATGTGCTGTGGCGGTGCCTGGTGGTACCGTGGCTGTGGTATCGAGTCGTACTGCGGCTGTGGTGCCGGGTGGTACTGTGGAGGAGCAGGCTCCTGCCGGGGTGGCTCGGGATCAGCCTGCTGTAGTGGGGGCTCAACCTGCGATAGCGGAGGAGGTCCAGGTAACTCCCTTCTCTCATCTCGCCTTTGCTGGGCAGCTACGAGAGCTTCCACCATCTCAAATAGTCTGTCTAAATCCTCTCGAAGCGAGTTATCTTGGGCTGCTCGGTTTAGTGGGGGTCTTCCTCTCCTCATTTCCTTGTACCTGCATTCACAAGGAATGGTTGAGTAACGATCTATCGGTGAGTATTTCTTTAAGGCACTATTGTGTAAGGGATGGGTATGAGGAAA